AAAACAAATATTTCAAAACTAAAAAAAATATTGAATATAATAAAATTAAACAAAGTTTACATGCAATGCTTGTGTTGTCTTTAAACTTTTTTTTTTGCTATTCTTTTCCTTCAAGTTGATGATAGATTGATTCATGTGGCCTTGTAACACTTCCTCATCATTTCTGGACACATTTTGAAAGAATGAGAGTAGACAAGGTTGCCAGAAAGCAGACACAAATGATGTCCTTACCCGGTTCTCCAACCCTGGCCTGTCACTCTGAGCTACACCAGTCATCAAAACAAGGATAATTGCGTTTACAGGCGGCGTTATGGTTGTACGCACCCCCAGTAATAATAGGCTATTATCGTATGAATGTAATCACATTTAATGGATGCGTCTTTGTGAAGTTTCTCAAAACAACTTATTTCATTTACCTCTTAATTTTTTTTTTATCTCTTTAAGTCAGAATGCATAATTGCATGTATTGTTTGTTGAAAGGTAGGACAAACATTACGGCTTGCTCTACCTTATAATACCAAATGTATGCAGTTTGCATTCTGACTATTGAAATACAATTATTCTTAACAGGTAAAAAAAAATCATTTGGATTGAGGCTTTTCACAAAGATGAATGGATTAAATTTGATTATATTTCGAAAAATTGCATATTGCTCTGCCTCAATGTTGTGTACACCTACCGAATTCTAGCCCTGGACCAAACATGTACCTAACCCTAACCCTAATCCTAAACCTAACCTAAAACCTTATTCCAACCCTATACATATAAATCCTGTATGAAAGTTTTCTGTATCGTAAGCCTGTATCATTGACGAAATAAGCCCGGAGGTTGACGCCTTAGCATATTTCGGAGAACCCTCTTGACTATTAAAGCAGTGCCTATAATGTATGAAGTGTTCATGATTTTTCTTAACAGGTTCGAAGTGTTGGTCATTTATAATTTAGTTCAAACACGTATAGCAGGGGCACTTTCTCAATTTATTGCTTCTTAACACGTCATTAAACACCCCCAAGTTATAAATTATTGGAGAGCGAGTGGATTTCCCTTTAAATTACGTGTTATGAATACGGATAGCAGTGCAAAGCATTGATGAATGATTAAATGCAAATTAATAGTAATGGCACTAATGTGGATTTTTATAGCGCTTCTAAATACAGAATACCGTCTCTCATAGCTTTTCATAGTATTACCCCTGTCATCGGATTCATTCATGCACAATGTGCAGCATCTCAACTCCCTGCGGAGTATTCTTACCATAAGATCATGTGGCAATTACTTACACAAAGGCTTTCGTCATCCTACCAGGTCCCCTTTTCTCTTCTGGGTATGGAGTGGGATAAACATTGAATTGTGGAATTTAGTGTACAAAATAAATAGGTTATCATTTTTGAATTACATATTTTAAACACCATTAGATTTAGTAAATGTCCTAATCGATATAATCATTACAATTTTAAGTGCTTCGACAGATTAAACATGAAAACACATAGCATGATATCATAAAGTAAATTAAGTTAATTACTTGAAAACTTTTTAAAATGTCGGTTATCCAAGTGTTGATATTACAGGCGGTATTATGCTGCTTTTCATATTGAAATGAACGACTCCAACACCGTACTTTCTGAACCCACGAATATATAAAACCTTTCTCAATTTTAAGCGGTATGAGGAACCATAATACGCACTATATTAACGCAGGAAATATATAAATGACATGTTTGATTACTGAAATGAATGAGTGATTGCGAATTGATATAGGTTCCATGAAAAATGGCACAACGCGAGATTGCATATCGAACAGGAAATTATAATTCATATCAAAAACAAAAATCTTATTTACGACAGAAAAGGTTCCTCGCATAAACGCGCGTGCAGGAAGGCTCAAAAAAAGGTCAATTTTAATGTAACATATACGTTGAAGGCATTCAATGCTTACTGAGGTGAATTTCATAATATGAAAATGGAGACAGGGGGATAAGGAGACAATTTGGTTTTGATAAGGTACGGCGCGGGAAAGAAAGCCTAGAGACTTGGATGTAATTATTCGTGAAAGACAGAAGTCACTCTTCAGGCATTATTCATTTGCCGAATACGTGTCATCTTTCGAACCTTACTGCACAGTGAGTCAAAACTGCATGAAGCGAGTATCGGTTAAGCAATCTACATGATTATATCATTTGTTAAAGGTATAGACCAGTTTTGGAAACGCCCCATTCTCAAAAAATGAAATGGAAGCTCTTTTTACCAATCATGTGGAAGAATATGTTTTGACTAATACGTGATGACACAAATTTTGCCGGAAACCGCCTACTAATTGATATATTTGGTAAATTATTATTTCTATCCGGACCGGATAGATATCGCGCACGTGTCGCTTAGTCCCATATACATCTTTCTGTGTAAAGTGCTAGTAACTTTACTAAGACTGGGCCAAATTTCTTATCATTTTGATGATTCCAGAATCTTGCAGTACACACCTGTACTTATATGCTAGATGATCAACCTTTTCTGATCGATTTCACAACGTTTCTTTTACAATGCAATTGCATGACCAGAACTCAACTTTATCTTTAATGTCAATTGGCATGATAAAGCTGTGTTAAGTTCAGTTTGTTAAAAAAGGGGGAAATAAACCGGTTGTTGGTTTTCTTATTCATCTCAAAAAGCAAGATGGAACTGGCTTTACCTATGAAGGTCATCATTCAGTAACGAGTCTAACAGTTTCATACACATGAACATATTTTAAATGCAATTTCTACTTTAGACATTGATTGGTTTAAATAAAATTTGAATTTACTGTCTATATCTTGGCCAATGATGCTGCAACATTTTCATTATTTATATTATAGTTTATAAGAGTAATAACAAAATGCAATTTACTGTTGTCATACACTGAAATAAATAGAATTCCATTTAATGAAGAAACTGATAATACGAGTGAGAGCCACATCTCAAACCATAACGTGCCATGAACTGCTTTGGGGTACGACGCCTCTTTCATCCATGTAGACACGCTTTAAAGCACGAACTCAAGATTGACTCCAGACCTATGCATAATGGGTTTATACTGATCTCAGTAAATTCGGTTTTACTGAAAGAGTTGGGGGCTTAGGTAAACTGACTCTCGGAGAAATAAACAAAATACCAAGAAACCTACTATACACTCTGAGCAAAAATAGCTTTATTGACAGCAGTAGATTGAGCTACAGCTTTAAGTCGGTGACAGAATCGTGTGAACATCGCCCGGTAGAGGATTATAATCCGCTATTGTTCGCACGTCATTCTTGCAACTACAATTACTCTGTGTCGTTTCCTTTATCATTTAAAATACATTGATTATGTTGAAAACAGTAAGTGTGCTGCTAGGACTAGTATAATGGTTGTTCTAACAACGATTAATTAAATCGATACAAGAGTGCAAAGAAACAAAGTGACATTGTAGGTTCAAATTGTTTTCTACAGTTTCGAGATTGCAGAGCAACTACTAAATTTTATTGAATGCCTTAGGGGGAGAGAGAGGGAGGAGGAGGAGAGAGATAGAGAGAGAGAGAGAGAGAGGGGGAGAGAGGACGGGAGAGGGAGAGAGATATATACAGAGAGATACAGAGAGGGAGAGAGAGAAAAAAGGAAAAGTGGAGAGAGTGTGAGAGGTAGAGGGATATGGGGGGGGGGGGGAGTGAGAGAGAGAGAGAGAGAGAGAGAGAGAGAAGGGAGATAGAAAAAGAAAGATGGGAGAGAATGGGAGAGGAAGAGGGAGAGAGAGAGAAAGGCAGACAGACAGACATAGAAAAGTATACTTAGAGAGAGAAACAGAGAGAGGCAGAAAGAGATAGGGATATGAATAGGGACCCCGATGTTAACGGGGTATTACAGTCATCGTCCCTCAGTAAGTTATGAGACATGCATGAAATAGGCATGTACATAAAACACACATACATGCATGCATCACTGTCAAATACACTTTTTACACACGGGGCGCCATTTTGATTGCGTCAATACATGCGCTAATTTTGCCTATGAAAACAATAACTGGATGCGCCGTTTGAAATACAACGCAATGCTTGCAGTGTTTTCCATTTACATTTTGTGTACAATGTCACATCACTGACTGGCGCGTCAAAGAACGCACCAGTCAGTGACGGGGCCCTACGTCTAAAAAATGACGCACCGTCTGCATTTGGGCGGAGATAAATAAGTAGCTGATCAGGGCCCCGTCTTATAGAGATTTGCGATTAATCGCAACTTATTTGCGATTGATATCAATCACAAATATGTACATAAGAGATAGGAGACTGTAAAGTTACGATTGATTCGGATCAATCGCAACTTTTTTTGAAACGGGGCCCAGTACTACAAAATCGAAGAAAAGATATTGAACCAAATTGATAACAAAGCTTTAGCCTGTCTGTGTCCGAATGTGTACATAGTGCATAAGCGTAAACTACTCTCAGTCACCTTTGTAAAAAAAAATTGTCGTTCGAATCCGTCGAACATAACTTTGATTGCACAAAGGAAGAACACATTAGTCATCCATGATGCAAAGTGGGCAAGCATTTTCAATATTATAAAGGGTCAGTAGGAATGGGAGGTTGCGTTTTATATTTTTTCTTTCATTTGGCCAGGTGTCTACTGTTCGTATAACTTTTCCTTTCTGATGAGCATTATTTATCTCTGGTTGTCTCTTGTAAGCTTTCATAATCCCTTATTAAATACCAGCAGTCGACAACTAGTCCTTCGAGTGTTGTTATTTTTTATGTATATGAGACATGTGTACTTTTCATGTCATTAATATTTTATGTATGCTAGACATGTGTACATTTCACTTTGCTTATATTTCATCATGTGATCCATCATACATTTATGTTGATACGATGTGATGTTTAATTTGAAATGAAAAGGATCAATCAAACATGAAATACATACAAATAAGCGTAAATGTTTTTTATTCCATGATATTCGACAAACGTCTAAATTACGTTTTGTTTACCTTTACATTACAGTGCTTTGAGACTACAGAACCAAACGGCAGAGATCTTGAACCGGATATTTGATGGTTATGACAAAAGGCTGCGTCCTGGTTTCGGAGGTCAGTATGAATGGTGTTGGAGAGGGACAATTCATGCTGCGCATGTACAAAATGAATAGAAATCCTAAAATATTTTTCTTTCAATAAAAACGTCTAGTTTTCGTTTTTTCCCCTTATAACTCATCTTAAATTCTTGTTAATAGTGGTTCAATAAGTAGCCTTGAATAGTGAAATACAAAAGAATACAATATCCAGATGATAAAACACACAATATATTTGTAGATCAATTGAAACAGATGAACTAAAATACCCTTTTTTGTTGTTAGAGGAAGAGAGGAACATTGAAATGGAAATTGATTATTTATTGTCAATTCAAAAGTTTTTTTTTCCATTGGTATGTATAATTTTACCAATCAATTTACAAATAAAGGATATCAATAACCATAGACAATCACAGCAATCGATGACGGTTATAATGCAAATGCTTTTCCGTTTTCATGAAAGAGAAATGGTTTGTAAGGCTTTTATGCAAAAGATTCAATCTCGAACAGTCTAATATTGGCTTTATTTTGTGGTATTATTATCAATCTCAGTATATAATAGGTGTAAGATATTGCATGTAATTTAGGTATTTAAGTAACTATTCAAGTAATATTAAATAATAAGAAAATAGTGTTTACAAGTAGATAACAACTGTGCAAATTTCGCAGAGATCTTTCCAGTCGTAGCTGATTTCAGAATGCTACCCCCTCTCCACCCTCCCCCTTTATTCCTGGTCGGTTAAAAAATGGTCCATTGCAGCTTTGACTGATTAATGGCCCTGAGGAAGAAAGACTGGGAAATTATTCTTCACACTTTTCCACATTTTTAAAATCTGTTTTAATTGCTTTCTCCTATCTCCGATTTTGTTCGCAGGCCCTCCTATTGATGTTACTGTTAGCATGTATGTGTACAGCATGGGTCCCATCACCGAGTCCAAGATGGTGAGACATGTTTTAATATTTCAATATTGCTTCTGGCATTTTTAGTCAAAGTGGTGTGAAAAGAGAATAAATTTGATATTCAAATGTAAATATGCGGGCATAGAGGCGTTAAACCTTGAATACACACGGGATTTAAACAATTATATCAATAAAAAGCCTTTTGAGAGGTCATGTGTATGAATATAATATTATGGGTCAAAACAAAAATGTATTTGTATTAAATTATATTGTCAAATGAACATATATTTAGCTAATCTGTAGTAAAAAAAAAAAAAAAAAAAAAAAAAAAGATCTACCGCAACTATACGAAGTAATTATTTTAGTTTTGTGCTTTAATATCATAACATTGTACGAATGTAAAATAGTAGAGTTTTCGTGGTTTAGTGGTTCATTCGCTTGATTCTAAATCAAAGGGTTAAGGGTTCGAATCCCATCACAGCAATAATGTTCTTTAGCAAGACATTAATCCATGGGTGCTAATCTCCACTTTGGAATAAATGGGTACCTATGCCCATTTCGCCAAACTTGTCATCTGTGACAAATGACAGTGTTTGTTATAAGCTAGTGAAATCCTTGCTTTTGATTGGTTATCAGCAGATTTGTCACTGATTTTTGTAAATGTCATTGAAAAGAGGCTTTGTGAAACGGTCCCTACATCATTAGGCCGCCCTGCCAAGTCCGAGGTAATAACGTTGGAGCGCAAGGAGCGCCACGGTCCTTTATAAGGAAACATCGTATCAACATTTTTTAAATATTGAACGATATCATAATTTGAAGGAAAAACATAACACATTTCTGTCCTACGAATTCGGTTCGTCCTGCAGGAATACACACTGGACATGTACTTCCGCCAGCAGTGGCGTGACGAAAGACTACAATTCGATTCCGAGGTCGGCCTAGCACTCAACGCCGAAACCCTCGATAGTTTCTGGGTTCCCGACATCTATATCATCAACGAGAAATCAGCCGCTTATCACACCGTCCTCTACAAGAACTCTCTGCTCCGTATTGAACCCACGGGCGAAATGCTCTTCAGTACAAGGTATATAGGTGTTTTCATTTCATATGAATTATATTATTATACTGTATAATCCAAAAATGACAACATACCGTCATAGATATATTTTATACAAATGATACACAGCAGTGAGGGCATTATTAAGAATTACCCACACAAGGTACCTTTGGAACAGTTTAACACGCCCAAAGTGTTTGGACTGTTTTAAAGGTACCGAGTCTTGGTAATTCTACTAATTTGTTTTATAAGATGATGTTTTATTTGTTTTATAAAATGATGTTTTATAGCATGATTTTTCTAATCCGGTCATTAGTAAAATTACGTGTCAGGCAAAAAAATGCCTTGTCATGTGTACGCTCTCAACCAATCATTTGATTAGGAACCGCTTCATCATGTTATAAATATAATTACATACCTCTGCTCAGCATTGTCGCGGCAACACAACCTGCTCTATTTAGTAATCAAAATGATGATGACACATACAAAAGAAAGTAACATCAAAGCTACTACCAAAAATCCTTAACATATTACTTCAATATCCCGAATATGTAACCCCTATAAAATTCCCCACACCCAAGGTAAATTCTCATAATGAAATGGTTTTCAACCAATTAAAGGTACAGACATACTTACACAAATGAAGTGAAAATCGATGATACGTAATAATTAATCTCAAAAGGCTTGTATGAGCAGAACATATGTTAATAGCAAAACTGTTGTGTGATTCGTGTAATGAAAAGGGGTTTTATAGCCAGTTTTGCATTTTCCAGCGAATGTTTCGTTTTGGGGGTTGGTAGGTGCGTTTACGACACGCATTTGGTAAATCATCTTGCATGAAATGTATTTCGCTATTTGTTTTTATTGTTATATATAATGTTAATCTATGATACATGTATATCTTTCTTTTTTTCTTCTTTTTAAAATTCATTTATTTTAGATTAACTGTGACTGCCAGCTGCAACATGGATCTCTCCACCTTTCCTTTTGATAAACAACGCTGTTCCCTCGACATGGAAAGCTGTAAGTAGAATGAACCATAACATAAACAAAAACATTTAAATCGACAAATTTGAAAACGTTACATATTAACTCTTATCCTGCCACAGGGCTAATCCCCCCGTGCCAAAGCCCCAAATCCCCCTGTGCCAGATTGTTTTGGAGATAATCCTATTAACGCGATGGTTCTATGAATAGCGCGTGCAAAACACTAGGCACAGTCCAATGGGCATGAACAATAACTGCTATTACATATGCGTGCAGACATGCAAGAAGCAGAGGAGCAAAGGCTTGCTAGCGTGTACACGGCACCTAAACAATAGCGTGCTAGCAACCTTATGGCAGGCTATGAGTTAAGCATAAGTTTGTTAGTAATGACATGTTTTATTTTCTTTAAAATAAAGTTTCATTGTGTGAGTTGAGATTAAACAGTGTCTATACAGTTTCAAGGACATATTATTAATTGTGAATTATTATATCTAAATGATGACCAAAGTGTTAAAAAAGAGAACATGATCTGTAAGAATGATTAAATGTACATGCATTTATACAAGATGTGCAATTCATATTTCCACCAATGCCTGAACTACACTCTAAAATGCATTGAAATTGAATTATGAATTATGTAAATACAGAATCAGTACAATTTTTAATTTTGTTCAGTTTTGGAACGGACATTTAGACATTACAGTTATAATAACCCTCGTGTTTTCAAATTATTCCATTTTATTTCAGATGCATACAGTGAAGACGATGTTAAATTCAAGTGGCTTGAGAACGGTCCTGTCTACGTGGACCCTAAAATCTCACTACCTCAATTCAAGTTCCTAGACTCCAGTGTCCGGTCAAGAATCGCCGAATATTTCGGTAAGTACGGGTTAGAATTGTTTAAAGAGAATGCTGAATTCTGCTATAGGTATACACTATGATAATTTACAAGCCTTATCATTCATAATTTCATATACATGTACTACTTTTTAATTTAGTAATGTAATGTCCCCTAAAAAGCGATATTCTTCAAATGCCTTCATATTCGGAATATGACGAGGAATGGCTAAAAAGTGTGGACCACAGTCTTATGCCACATGCTTGTGTTGGTAGCCCTATATATACCCATATTCATATACCTGTATTAATATCATTCTAAAGTCTCGTCCATACATTCATCCATTGATTATTTATCTAATATAATCACGATTGGCTGCAATAATGCCTAATTTCACGTGACTTACATATTAAACAAAAAAGTTCAAAGATATTACGATATTACACAAGATACAGAATCTGAATAAAATATCACAGTAGACAATTATTCTTACGTACTATACATGCGCTATCCTCCTATAGTATCATGAAATCTAGTAACAAATTATGCCCGTTGCATACATGTATATACGGGGCATCATTTCGATTGCGTTATCATTGCGTTTGTATTCAATCTATTATAAACCCCCGCGTTACACAACTTTCGAATCCCCGCACATAAACCATCGATAAAGATCAGTGGCATTTTGAATCATCATCTTTTATTCATGTTGGTCATTACATGTCTCAGCTGTCGTAAGGCCTGTCGAATGTCAATCGAGCTTGTTGAATACCAACGGCATGCATTAGATCTTGTTCATGTAAAATGTATCACCTTATACATCTTCGGGACGTTTATAATGTCAGCCAGTCATGCAATTGAGATATTATGATCATCGCGATTACATTACAATGTTATTTACTGATGTAATTGAAGATTCGTGACATATCCATGATGTAATACCCAAAGTTAACTATCCTCCGTTGAATTACCATCAATTACAAAAATTGTTCTCCTCAGTCGGGAACTACACGGTCGTCAGCGCCGACTTCTACCTCGGCCGCGACATCACCTATTACGTCGTCCAGACCTACATTCCGTCGTCGATGATCACCTGTTTGTCTTGGTTGTCGTTCTGGATCAACCGCAACGCCGTGCCCGCCCGCGTCGCCCTGGGTATCACGACGGTTCTGACGATGACAACGCTGGTTGGTAACGCAGGCAACTCCCTCCCCAAGCTGTCCTACATTAAAGCAATCGACTTGTTTCTTGGTATGTTTCTTCAACAGACGTTTTTTTTTGTTCCCATATCGATAACGATGCCATGCTATTATTTCCTTATTTGTAACTTTTTTACCTCCTTAATCCTGTAGATTGAGATTTTAACAATAAGTCTTTCAGCTTAATCTATCAGATATTCTTTCGCTGCTTTTTCCTGTCTGCATGTCAGCCCGCCTTCGACATTTAACCTCAGCCCTCTTCTTTATTTTGCTTTTTAACCCTCTATCTCACTCACCCCTCTCTATCCTCCCGATTTAAATGTATTCATTTATTCATTTTATTCTTTCTTTCCTTTTTTTGTCCCTTTCTTTCTTCTTTCGAATAGTTATTCCCCGTCTGTTTTTAACTGCCTTAATATTCTCTCGTTTCCAGATTCGCATCTGTAGCTTTGCTCCCTTAGTATTGTTTCTGCCTTTCCCGCCCCCCCCTCTCTCTCTCTCTCTCTCTCTCTCCCTTTCTTTCTATCTCTATTTCTATCTTTTTTTTTCTCTCTCTCTCTCCCTCTGTCTCTATCTCTCTCTCTCTCTCTCTTTCTTCTACCACAATCACTCTCACACACCTTCCCACTAATGATACATCATCCAACAGTTTCTGACACTCTGTCTTCGAACATTACCTATTCTATTAAACGAACAGCGGGGATATGACCTATAAAACCATGAACCGCGGGATGTAACATTATAAAACTTAAAGCTAACCCTGAGCTCCGGTATGGGAATCGTATTTCAAGAGAACGTGGCTATAATTCATTCTGGATTGTTTATCCTGCATTAGATTGATTGTTTGAACCCGTAATATAATAACAACTTCACAAAAACTTTCTGGAAATCATCTTCAATAAAACTCACCACTCTCATTTGCACATAGCGCCCTATGTGAAGCACATGATGTCGGGCTAGCTACTTACCCTGATTTCCTTATCTTTATATGCTCATTTCTCAGCCCCTATACTTTTCTACCAAAATCCTTTGGCAAAATAACGTTATTTATTTGTAATCTTGAACATTCACTGTATGTTCTGTTTGATTATGTGGGAATTTATTTTCTATCATTGCCAGAACTCAAGCTTATCTTTAATTACCTATTTTATTAAACGAACAGCGGGAGTATGAGCTATGTAACCATGAACCGCGGGATGTTCTATTACGTAAACAGTTGGGGCCTAAGATGTTCCATTAAATGAACAGCAGGACGTCATGTTCTACGAAAGAAACAGTTGCACTTTAAATGCTCGTTTAACCCTTTGCTTACTGGAAAGAGGTTGATCATGTACTAAGCCTATTGGAATAATAGAAACCAATAGCCAAAATGATGGGATGAACAGCACATGACCTATAAAACAAACGAGGTGACTTCAGATGCGCTGTTATAATTATAGCCTCCCAGCAATACAAATGTCACCAAATTATCAACGTTCAGTTATCGGGTCCAAAATTTAAAAGCAATCATATCAATTTATAAGAAATAAAAAAAAATTAATTAAAAAAAAACCTTTTACAAAAGCTATTCGTCGTGGTAGTTTTTATTTCTTTGTTCTCGTCATGTTTAAGTTTTCCTCTTTTTGTCTCGTTCAACCTGTTATTTCTATTATTACTTTTACTTTGTGCTATTTTCCGTGTTTTCTTTCCTCTTGAAGTATGCCATTATATTATTATTATCAATATCAACCATTTAGTTTTTCTTTGTTTTCGCATTTAGCATGGTCATATTGATATCGGTCAGAAATCATGACTTCATTTTCCCACTCTCTCTTGATAGGTATGTGCTATTTTTTCGTGTTTGCTGCCCTCTTGGAGTACGTCATCGTCATCTACTACGACCAACCTCGTTACAAGAAAGCCCGTGAACTCATGAAAGAGTTTCAAGACCATGAGCACGCAGCCAACAAGGAGGATTCAGCCAGGACAAATGACGTGGTAAGTCGGACAGCAAGGCAGAAGACATTTAAGGTCGTTTTTTGATTTGCCGCAATAATTAGGAATACGCTTTTAAAGGTACTATGTCCCATTTGCAGGCCAAAAAAATTAAAAAGTTAAATTCCAACTGCATTTGAAAGATAATACTGATTTAGAACTTCCCTAAAAAAGGTGGGGCTTGAAAATGTCTTCAAGTGGGAAAATAACGACTATTAGTTGTCAAATCGACTTTAGGGCTATAGAGCCCAAAAGTAATAGTCTTGATTTTCAGACAATTGTACTGAATGGTCATACGTTTTATGCTGCGCAAAGATTCAATCAGTTTAATCTAGGCCATCACAAGAAGTGGGTTATTGATGTAGACAAATGCTCATGTACCCTTTACAACTCTTTTCATGTATGTTATTACCAAAGAAGAAAAAAAAAAAGTCAGTCACTCAATAGTGTCTGACAGTGAAGTCTAGCAAGTAAACAGGTTTCCTTGCATAATTTGAATATAAGGACACTGCTAACGTTTAAATTTCACAGATAGGACATACATGACATATTCATAATTCCTGCAAAGTTCTACAGCATTTGAGGTTAGCTGCAAAAGGGAAACAGTACCTTTAATAAACGTACTCTTTCTGGTTAATAACATGCCATAAATCATTAATACCCCTCTTCCCTTACTCCCCTCTTCTTTATTTAGTTATACAACTACTACTTTCTACCCAACGCCCATATTCCCCTCTCAACCACCATCAATCTCTTTCCCGTCTTCAGATCAAAATAATCATCAACAACAAAAAATATTCTTCGAAGGGGAACTAATTGATGTCGACATATTTACTGATAAATAATTATTGTGTGAAAGTTCCCTGAAAAATGCTCTCGTCAATCCACAAACTTATCAGAAGCTTACCTGACATAGCAACAGTTAATATAAACAATATAGATTCCATTCATAGTATCGAACTTAATATGTGTAATAAATAGTGTATAATTATGTCATCATTGAGGTTTCCATGAAGCAATTAAAGACTATCTTAACATACATAAATGAATATATAATAGGTCTATCAAATAAAATAAATGAAAGGATAAATGCACGGATAAATGAATAAAATAAACAAGTTTATAAAATGGCTCTAGTATTTTAAGCATCGTAATTGGTCAATACGCGTCACATGACATGTACAAATTTTTGATGCAAGCACGATTTTGCAGAAAAAAGCGCAAAAAAAGTTTTATAAAATGGCTCTAGTATTTTAAGCATCGTGATTGGTCAATACGCGTCACATGACATTGACAAATTTTTGATGCAAGCACGATTTTGCAGAAATGAGTGCAGAAAAAGCGCAACAAAAAGTTATATTGCACGTGACCATGGAGATCCAGTGCGCGCGCGTACGTGTAGTACGCGCTCCCTCGAGTGCATTGCAATTATTGTAGGCTACGCGTAGCTAATATTTTACGCTCCACCATGATCCCCAGCGCAACGTACGCGTAGCTTAGCTCTAGCATGGACTTATCAACTTAGACATAAAAAGCAAATTTTTATTTTACTTTTGCCTTGGATTTAGGCCTGTTTTGACTTTTGGATTTTATAACGAAGCCAGGAATTTCAGCTGTCTGATGTAGATTCGTCTCTAGACCCACAAGCCTGCAAGGTCTTAGTCTAGAACCAACCTAACTCTAGATCTAGATCGAACTCTCGTAGACTCTAACTTAAGATCTAAAGTTTCGTTTGTTGCTATTTGTGTCGCTATTTTATAAAACAAATAACGCACTTGACCAATTCGTCGCACGGCTGGCAGAAGGGCGTTAGCGCGCGATCGACTCGAAAACTACTTTTCGAGTTATTCGCATTTAAAGATTTGTTTTATATTTAAACTGCTTTCCGTCCCGAAATTTGGTTTAAAACTTAAAAGACTAATAGAAATGTTAAAGCAGAACACGACAAGACATTTTTTCCCGGAAATAAGTCAGTTTTATAAAAGTTTGAGGCGATTTAGTGCTAACGCCCTTCTGCTTAACGCATTATTGCGCATCTTCTTTCATGCTAAAGGGCGCAAGCCGCGTAACGCCCTTCTGCTTTGAGTAAAATAGATACGCTTCGGCGCGTAAAGCTTGTAAAAGGGCGTAACGCGCATGGTGTAGCCCGGATGGAGCGTGTTGTCATTCAGACTTTCTGAAATAAAAAGCAGACGCATGCAATTGTTTGTGATGATAAAATATCAAATTTGATTTTTCGTTTGCTTTTGTTTTAGCATTAATTAAAGGTAAAGACCAGTATTGGCAACGCCCCAATTTCAAAAAATGAAATGGAAGCTCTCATTACCAATCATGTGAAAGAATATGTTTTGACTAATACATGATGATAAAAAATTTGCCGGGAAACTGCCTACTAATTCATATATTTGGTAAATTTATCTCTCTCATGGTCTGGTGAGAGAGATAGGGTAGTCCCATATACATCTTTCTGTGTATAGTGCTTGTAACTTTACGAAGAATGGGCCAAATTTCTTATCATTTTGATGATTCCAGAACCTTGCAGATGCTAGATGCTAGATGATCAACCTTTTCTGATCGATTCCACAACGTTTCTTTCACAATGCAATCGCATGACCATTACTGGTCTTTACCTTTAATAGTATTAGGTTATGCTTTACGGATTTTGCTTCCAATATTTACAAAAAACTCATTAAATTTATCAGCAATTTATTTTAAATCATAATGTATCACGACAATTTATTGATTATTATGCAAGGGTAATTCTTAATGCATTAACCAAGTACATCGCTTATAATATCCAGGGTATTTTTCATGTTTCCTTAAACCTATTTGGAATTTCAAATAGTAATAATTACTTTATGCTGATTTCCGGAATTTATTCCCATGATTTCGAACTCTATTATATTTCCTCTTATTCGTATCTCTATACAAAGAGGTCAATATATTCAAAGAGTAATAGAGTAAAAAATGAAATTACACTGATCACATCACTCTGCCCCATCCTGATATTTATCTTTAATCCTTCACAGAATACAGGAAATGCATTAATTTGTTACAGAATGCCCTTTATGTCTACAACTGTATACTGTACGTTGTGCTTCATATGTGATTTAAGTTTGATTGGATATTGTTGTCAATGATCAAAAGTATATTTGTATACTTTTTTTGGGGGGGGGGGAGGGGGGGGGGCACACCAAGCACTATGTACAATTTCTTCTCAATTCTTTCTCTTTCTGTCTCTCTCTCTCATGCAAACAAGAACATCCCCTCACTCTCCCTCTCTCTCTATTTCTATCGATCTCTCTGTCTATCTCTCTTTTTTTTTCTCCATTAAACACATCTCATAATCGTTTGTTACCCCTCTTTTGCAGTTGCGTGTCTATCTTCTTGTCGCATTAGTCATTTCCATTCTAGTACATTACACTCTCGGACACATTTTTCCCATGAACAAATGTAACTATATAAGAATAAACCCTAAATAGCACAAAGCAATCAAATGTTAAGATGAACACTTCCGTCATGGTTATGACTGAATTTATTTCTTTGCAATATAACTGGAGTCCTTTTTGTACAGTTCATTTTACAATTCCATGTACAATCATTCAAAATTGATCAATCATAATGAATCATGATTAAATATAAAAATTGGAACTTATCTGTAGCACATGCTCATGGCAGAAAGAACAACATGGTAGCTAGCTCTCAAAAGAAAGTTTTGTATTCTGCGTTGAATCTGTTCTAGCTCTAGTGAGCTTTTGTAGCATATAGTTTTAAAAACTGTGCAGTAAGTTTACAAAAGAGAAAATACTTGAACAATATATCAGCATTATCAAAGGCAAATAAACAAAATTGTATGACAATAAGTGAAACTGTAGCACATGTTCATGGTAGAAATTACAACATGGTAGCTCTTAAAAGAACTTTGTGTATTCTGCAGTTAACGTACTGTGCAGTAAGTTAACATAAGAGAAAATACTTGAACAATATTTCAGCATTATCAAAGGTGATATAAAAAAAAAAGTATGACAATAAGTGAAACTGTAGCACACGTTTATGGCAGAAAGTACAACATGGTAGCTCTTAAAAGAACTTTGTGTATTCTGCAGTTAACGTACTGTGCACTAAGTTAAAAAAAGAGAAAATACTTCAAAAATATTTCAGCATTATCAAAGGCGATACAAAAAAGTATGACAATAAGTGAAACTGTAGCAGCTTTTGGGATCTGCACTACGTTTCCTGGCTCTCTTATTCTGTATTAGAATAAAAAATATAAAAGTGGTGGACGAAATATTAGTTTAACATATTCATGCTTTGAACTGTACAGAGTGCAAAATTCTATAAAAGTAAAAGTACTGGTGAAGGATGAAGGAGTCAACACTGCAGCAAGTCAATGTAAATGACTGTAACCTTGCAATCTGACTGGCATGTTTCTCTCCTTTTGCTTCTCCTCTCTTGCCTTGATTTAATGAACCAATACATTCACTCTCTCCCCTACCCCACCTTTAAACCCAGCCATCATCAAGAAATAAGGGAGTGAAAGAGAGAGAGAGAAAGAGAGATGGGAGGAGAAAGAAGAGAATTGCAGTACGTCTGCATGGTCATTTATCCCAGAACCCCTCCATCAGAGGGAAGCAGAGCAATTATTCCATTTACTCTGTCTAAAGAGATGTACACCAGCCATTTTCTGGTACAACAAAAATACATTTATCTTTTTCAAAGAAAATTCTCCACTCCCTGGGCAGAATTTGTAACAGGCAACCATTTTAAAGCTTCAGACTTTTACCTCACATTGTTCAGGACGTTCTCCAATATCTCTGTGTAGAAGCCACTCTCTGTAAAGTACACAAGAATAAACTTTATGACATAGAAATGTAAAACCCATTTTGAAGTAAATATTGTAGGAGAAATAAATGGTTCAAAAGTTAGCTCAAGAGGTTGTTGTTTTGATTAATGAATATTGTAGAGGTGTCTGCAACAGCATAATTCCAACAAACTGACTTATA